GTCCATGTGGCTTTTGTCCTAGTGGACTGAATATTGTTCTTGTGGCCTATTGCCCTTGTGGCTTTTGTCCTAGTGGACTGAATATTGTCATAGTGGGCTACTGCCCTTGTGGCTATTGTCCTAGAGGACTGAATATTGTCCTAGTGGGCTATTGCCATTGTGAATTTTGTCCTAGTGAACTGATTATTGTCCTAGTGGGCTTTTGCCCTTGTGGCTTTTGTCCTAGTGAACTGATTATTGTCCTAGTGGGCTATTGCCCTTGTGTCTTTTGTCTTAGTGGACTGAGTATTGTCCTAGTGGGCTATTGCCCTTGTGGCTTTTGTCCTAGTGGACTGAGTATTGTCCTAGTGGGCTTATTATTGTCCTAGAAGGCTGGGTGCTGTCAGTGGGCTTATAATTGTCTAAGTGGACTGGGTGTTGTCATAGTATGATTAATTTTGTCCTAGTGACATGTGTATTGCTGTAATGAGCTTATAATTGTCCTATTCAACAAGGTAATGTCCTAGTGGGGTTATAATTGTCCAGTGGGCTATTGTCCTTGAGGGATATTGTCCAAGAGGCTTTTGTCAACAAGGTCTAATTTTCTGGCTGGCTTTTGTCACTACACCTGGAGTATTTATGATCATCTTTAGGTATGTCAGCCATTGTTGGCAAGGTTTATCACTTGTTCTTTGTAATATTTACTTGAAAAAGTAATTAAAGGAGATTTGTTGTTCCTTCTGGTCATAGGAGCATTTATTTTTTATTTGATGTAAGACACACAAAAACGTCAAAATTTGCCAAATGATCACAAACATCTTATGGACATACCTGCATCTATTTGATGAGAACTCCCTTCTTGTTAATTATACTAGTATTAAACACATTCTTAATCTAAATTTTTAAAACATCTAAATGAAACCTTTTTTTTCAATCTTGACAAGTTAGCATATTTAGGATAAAGTCTAAAACATGTGTACATGTATTTCCTAGGGAGGGGTTTGATATTTTATGGAGATAAGATAATATTAGTATCAATGGTATATATAAAACAGCAATGAAATCAAGTTAATTAATGATACGCATTGTCAATGAGAAAAAGGACTATCTAGAACTATTGTATCTTCTCAAATATCATTTGATTTGATTTTTCACTTCTTATAAATATACCAAAATTATTGTAATCACTTAAATTACATTTATTAAATTTCATTTGATTAGCATGTGCACCAAACTACCTTTAACTTGGGCTGAATTCTAAATAAGTAGGTAACTGTTTTACGCTCTCTGTAGCTAAAATAAATAAACTTGAGTTAAACATAACAATTTCCATCCCTAAAACTAAACATTAAAGGTTCTAGTGTCACTTACATTATTTCAAATACTAACAACAACAAAAAAGTTTTATGGTCATACAATTGTGTGTAGCATGTGAAAATTATCTATGTTTGCATCTAAATTGCCACAAGAGTAAAATTTTAACCATGGGAAAATAACACAAAAATCTTTCATCATGTGATAATTGCAGGCATTTGTTTTCAGCCAGGTCAATCTGTTTATCTCTATTATATCTCTTGGTTCATTAATTTTACTGTGGCATTTTGGAGGCCAATCTTAGATGACTACTGTTTCATTTTTCGGTGGAAGTGCAAAGATAAAACAATTACCCCATTTGAGATGCAACCCTGGTTTGTATTTATACAATGCATCAATACAATCATGGAACCTCAGTTGATAAGGTTTTGTCTGAAAGATCATTAGTATTATTACTGGAGAAGAAGGGGATCAAACCTGCGACCCCTAGACTAACAGACCTAAGCATGTTACCACTGGACCACTGCACACCTCTGCAGTCTTTAGGCCTTATAATACTGCATTTTTGTAACATTTGGCAATGATGATAATTATATACATTCACATTTTTGTAGCTGATGCAAAAGCACAGATTTATAAATTTACTTTTATTTCAATCGAAGCTTGAAGTATAACAATAATTTAATAGAGTACTGCCATCCTATTGGACAAAATATAATTTTAAACACTCAGCTTGCTCAGAATTTATCTTTTTTGTTTTTATTAATTTCTTCACTTAAATTTGAAAATGAATTTATTCTGAATTATGTTCATCCAAATAAAATGCATTATATTTAATAGTTTCTACAAATTTTATCATTTAATAGCTTCATGGTTGTGTAAATTTAAGTGTTAGATTCAACATTTTAATTGCCAGTATTTGAATAGCATGTTTTAGGAATTGTTGTATGGTGTGTATTTGTGCATGTTTTTTTTTTTTTATATAATAATTTATCTGTACAAGTAGCTAGATAAACCGTTTTTATCTTTTATCATGTTCAATAAATTTACTTGGTAGTAAAGTGTAATTTAGTAGCAAAATTTCATCATAATTATGAAAAACGATGTACAAATAAAAATGTTGTACATGTACTTTTTACTGGACAAATCCTTGTCAATTTTAGTTCAATCAAAACCCTAAAATTGAGCAAATAACACAAAGGTTTCACAAAAGCCTCTGATTATAACAGTCCATGACCCCAGAAATTCAAAATTTGAAAGTCACTATATTTAAGTACTTCAAGGGTAAAAGGAATACAAAAAGATATTAGGTTAAATAGGTATTTTTCACTCCGATGTAACATCAGATGTGAAAGTGAAAATGAATATAGCATGTGTATACCAGTGGGAAAGAAGTTGTTGCAAAATGTTGATGAACTTGTAAAACATCAATTCTCTACATACCGTTAATAAATATGAATACATTTTTTTTTTAAATATAGTGCCTTAAAATAAACCCATATTAAATATGTAGCTTAAAAAGTAAATGTATACAAATAAAAGCCAGACATCATTTAGTGGGCTACAAATTTTGGCAATAAATGTAATGAATAATGTCCAAAAAGAATACGATCCAAAATAATATGATATTCAATAACAAAACAAAAACTTCAGTATCCTGTAGTCAAATTCTTTAAAACAGCCAAATGTTGCATGACTTTGACCAGTTATGCATTCATATACTGAAATAACTAAATGTTCTTTCAAGTTTTCAGCAAACATATCAAGTTTCTACTAAATGATGCAGCACATTTTCTCCATACTTTTGCTGCATTAATAGTACAATGCAATGTATGAAGCCTGGGTGTGGTAATAATGTTTTATACCTTCAATGTAAAAGCTTCTTTTTAATAAATATATGCAGTGGAAACTAAAATACACTAAAACCTGCCCCTTTAAGGCCAGTCCAAAGAATTAAAAAGTTGTATTTGTTAATAGCTAAATTCACTTAAATGTTGTTTTTTATAGTTTATACTAAAATTGGTTAAAAGGAGAAATGAAAATGTTGTCTATTTAACACCTTCCTATACCAAGATTTTTCTAAATATAACCCACAACAATTATAATCCCCAAAATTATACATGTATTTGTCTCTTTTACTTAATATGTAAATATAAATAGGTATTAAACTTCAATGGCTTCCCTGTATGACAAAGTATTATATATTAGCCCATCCCTACCCCTTTTAGAAAATTTGCAAGACCCTGATGGTACTTATTGAAAACAATTTGGTATGGTCTTTAATTCAGAAGTGGTCAGTTACACAGGGTTGACTGTAAGAAGGATTAACTATTTCATAACCTCTAAGATTATAAGCAAAAAAAACAACAACACTGCACCAGGAAAAACGTGTGAAGCTTATTACCCTGATAATTATTACCATTTACATTTAATAAATGTTTGAATGACAGAAATAGGTGTTTGAATATCAATTATATCATGTTTTCATTATTTGTCTGCGTAATTTGCAAGTTCTTCAGGTGCAGTAAAATGTAATAACCATTAAGTTATATTTTATTCTACCAATGTTTAAATATTTCATCAGTACAGGTAGGCTATTACAAAATTAAAAGAAAACTTAAATGTCTTCCTCCTGTACTGAAGATGAAGATGAATAAAGTGACTTAAAGATATACTATGCTCAAATTTGATATTAGAAAATATTGATAATTGCTACAGTCTGTTAATTTGTTAATATCAAATAAACATGTTTTGACTTCCCAAAAAGTTTATTTAAAGTTCTACAAGTTACAGGCGGTTACAATATGAAAACACAAGGTCATTAAAAAAACAGGCAGATTTTTTTTTAAAAAGGCCAACTTCACTTGTCCTGTTATAGGGAACGCAGCTTCCCATACATAGTTACTTTATTCATTATTTTCTTCAAATTAAAATATTCAGTAAGAATTTCATTGATTTCAATAATTTTCTATGATTAAAATATTACACTCAAGGATAAGCATAGTATATCTTTAATTCCTGAAGCATTTAACCAATTTAACCACATCAAACCAATTAGTCAACGTCAAAGGCCATTGTCATCTCATTATCTGAAGAATCAATCTTGACTAAAAACACCATGTTTTACTAACACCATAAGATATTAATATGTTGTCCACCAGACAATTTAAGAATTAATTAAAAGCATTTAATTACAATTCTTTTCTTGACAAAAGATGCTAATGAGCATAACTGAATAATTTATAACATTTTTTTTATCTCATACATTCTTTGGATAGTTTCAACAATGAAAGGTGTTTACAATGTGTTATGATTTATGTTATACAAGATGTTAAAATTGACTTATGCAAATGTTTGCTGTTCTCATTCTTAATCTAGCCATATCCTTAATTTCTTCAATATTAATACCTTGAGTTTGGAACTATCCATTGTTAATTTAATGGATTTTAATATCAAGATATTGGGGAACATACATTGCCTGGTGATTCTGGTCATTGACTTCAATCCACTTGCCCTTCAACCTTGTGGGTCCAAATCCCTGCAGGGACTTTTGATCATTTAATCTGAGGAAACTATCCAACTTAAGCTTACTGAACATTGGTGGTTACTACTCAGGTGCGCATTAAAGCTATGTATAAAGAACAAGCATTCCAGGACCATCAGAATCTATAAATTGTTCACAAGAAAATGAACACACTATGATTTACCTTCATTAGAATAGAGTGTACATCTCAACACTGATAAGCCCCGCCCAATAAATGCTGATGGTTGAAGTACGAGGGGTCTCTTCATCAATTCCGCCATAAACAGGTCTACTTCCTCTGGATTCTCCATTCGATATATTCTAAAAATATACATTTATGTTTATATTAAAAAAAAATGGAAACGGAAAAGGGCTGAAAGTTGAGCAGTCCTTAAATCTTGATTTTGCAAAAATCAGTCTCCAGAATGTTAGTGAATTAAGTTGGTTGTGTTAAATGTACATACAAATATTATTTATATTTATGACTAGCTTTGAGAATTGATATCATGTATGATAATTGGAAGTCTTATCCTGTGACTTGGTTATAATTCATAGGTTTACATAAAAATTGTTTTGCCCAGATTGAAAGATGTGATCACAAAATGGTAAGTTGCTCTTCATCTGAAAAGACTACTGGCTTATTGTTAAAATTAGAGAAACTTTTATCAAAATATTATATGACAGTAGTCTTCTGTATTTTCAGGACAGCACAGACTAAACACATATTTATGAGTGAGACTAAAAAAAGAATTGGAGCATCATTCTGGTAATGTACCTTTTCACTATGGAATTAACTTTAAAACGTCACAGTGATTTATATACGTTAATGAATGAAAAAAGTAAGAATCGGTGAAAAAAATCTATTTATCTATTTTGTGATCATGATTTTTGCAAGCATCTAGAGGTACTGCTCCAATCCTATATTGAGATAAATTCCATATTTTTGGATAATTATAATAACACATAAAGCTGTGTTGAGAGATTATAAAACCTATATTATATCTATATTTACATACTAAAATAGCTACACAGTCATCATAACCTTGTAGTAAAGTAATTAGATATATATGTAGTGACAAAGAAAGATATTATGTAAACAGATAATGCAGTCATCCATTCATACATTTAAAAATATAACATTGATATATAGCCACAGCTCATTTCCAGGTTAAAAAGTTACAACTATGGTGAAGGGACTTCATAAGGATGGTCATTTAAGAGGTGCCTGGAGGCCGAGATGGCAGTGTTAAATTCATTTAGGCCACCTCAAAACAGTCTTTGTAAGATTAATAGTAGGGCCATACTTGACTTTTTGTTATTTCTACAGTCAAATACATTGGAGGAAGAATATTGCAGTATAAATCATATAATTGTGAACATTTCAACACCTTCTTATTTACCTTGTTTTGTTTTTTTAATTTTTATGTAAAAAATTTCTTGTTAAATCACCTGGACACATCACTCCCATTCACATTGAAATTTGAATTTATATAAAAGAAAGTATCAATCCATGCTGTGACTTTATGAAGATCATGCTGGGATTGAAAATATAGGATCAAGTGTTTACATGTACTTTGATTTCAATTTCTATATTCATACCTGTACAACTTGAATACCTCAAATTGAATACAGGTATTTTTTTCCAATACATTAAACTCTATACAAATTACGGTATACTTACTTCTTAGATTCATAAAATTGTTCATTATCTTTTTCTCATCAAACATGACTGTATTAATTTATTCAACATCTTATTTTTTGCTTAAAAACAACAAAAAAATCCAACAAAAATAAATTTTTTGAAGAAGCTAAATATTTATAAGCAAAATAAATATATAGAGGATATTCAAGTTTTTTTCTATAAATACATGATTTATTTTCATAGAGTGGTATGAAAATAAATATTTCATGAGTGGCGGTAGCCACGAGTGAAATATGGTAATTTTCATGCCACAAGATGAAAATAAATCATGTATTTTTAGAAAAAACTTGAATTTTCTGTTTATTATATACATTTTTCTCTTTTTTTGCGATAAAGACAGACTTTCCCTTAAATTTTGTGTACTGGCAGAATTTAAAAGAAAGTAGTCCGGCAAGACACCAGTGAAAATACGGAAAATATGTTTCACTGCAGTGAAAAATAAATTTTTAAAGTGAAAATACGGAAAATGAAAATACGCATTTTATTTTATCAATATTTCTCAATATTTTATTTATAAGTATATAATAAATATGGTTTATGAACCTTTGTTATCGTCGTAGAATAATGATCTGAAGGCACATTACCTTTTATGTTGCCTCAGAAATCATTTTTTCTTTTCATAATTGTTATATATGTAAAGATGTTTAGAAAAATTTAAACTAATTGTACCTCTTTTTTGGTATAACATTCACCATAGCTGCGGTTGATTCGATCTGTTTCATGTCCTTTGTAGGTTTAATAAGCCCATACAAGACACGTCCGTGTGCCAGGGCCTCGTCTTCACGGGCGGCTAATATAGCCGGAGGTAACTGCTGGTACGTTGGCAACATTGTGTAATATTATCCTTTAATCTGTAATTAAACATTGACAAAAACAAGTTATTCCAAGGAATATACACACATTATACATCTTACTGAATCACTACTTTTGTAAACATGTCTGCTCAATGCACACATTTTAACAGCACTGTGAGTCAGTATTTCACTTCAAATCGTTATGATAGTTAAGCAAAATGAAAGAAATTAATTTTCATTTTGGGAAACTTCATAAAAATCAAATAATTACTGAACCACATACTTTGATTATTTTTTTTTCAAGATTATGGTCACAATTTAGCAGCACCAGAAATAGCAAATCACATTCTGATTTGAAATTGTTCAGGTGCCAAACACCACTGGTGCTGAACTGGTGTGCTTTATTCTTTATTAGGCTTGTTTTGTTTATGATATATACATGGATATTACTATAATATCTAGATCTAAAATGCTTGGGTATTTCATACTTTTTGTGTGTGTGAGTGTGAGGTGGGGGGGGGGCTTCAAATGCATATTATATTTTCTTATTTGAGAATTTGAGATTATCCGCTCCTAATCTAATCTTGTCATTGTAATACTTGAGGTTATCATTAATGTTTCTGATCATTTTAATTTTTTATAAACAAGTCTTCTTTTATTTTAAAAAATCTTGAAAATAATTGTGTATTTCATAGTGTAGATGGCAAGGTAATCAAATACATACAAAGCTAACAAATTTTATTGATCAATTTTATAAATTCATAAAAAAATATATCAGTATCATCAAGCAGACTTTCACAGTCATAATTATAATGCTTTGTTTTATTTTTAAACTGCCACAACATTTTTAAGTTACTATAACATCTGAATATAGGACAGGTATTTACTGATCCAATAGTCTTATCTGGAGTTTATATTTGAAGAAATAGACAAGAAATATAAACTTATCACTTTAATGTTTGCAGGTCACATAAAATCATTTACCTTACAGGTAAAAATCAAATGTTTAGTGAGACAAATAGTAAATACAACATTTAACAATAAAATTTATAAGTACATGAATATATTTAAATACCATTAATTTACTTTTTGTATTATTTCATGTGAGGAACCTAAAGCAAGCTTACTGAACGTTGGTGGTACAATAAGTTGGTGGTACAATGAGCTGAGTCACGACAAACCAACATTGTGCGTAAATTTGCGACCAGCATGGATCCAGACCAGCCTAGACATCCGCGCAGTCTGATCAGGATCCATGCTGTTTGCTTGCGTAGAGAAACTGATAGCGAACAGCATGGATCCTGATCAGACTGTGCAGATGCGCAGGCTGGTCTGGATCCATGCTGGTCGCAAACCCATTATGTTGGTTTTGTCATGGCGCAGCTCATATACATTTAGTGTTTATATATTATATAAAAAAAAATCCTAAAATCCTAAAAATTTCTTACTCTTTAATCCTTTATGCAAACATTCTTTTATTTAACACTCTGTTCAATTTTATATTTCCAATGCTATAATAAGATGCTTTAACACTTTGATCCAGGTCGAAAGGATAGAATGGACCCTTAACTGATATTAAACATAAAATGATTATGAATGTCCTTTGAAAAACATGCTGTACATGAATAAACTGACAGAAAAAGTCAATTACCAGCAGATTCATTATGTTTCACTAGTTGACTCCAAGGTATTCCAAATATTCCACGAATTCTGTTAACATTTATTATTAATATCTCTGTACAGGTGGAATTACTGCCATAATTGGTAAACAATTAGTACTTACTTATACATAAGGTAATACATGTACATAATTATAGTTAATAATACACCATGTTAACCTTTTCAAACATTTTTACTATATACTTGTATACATGTTATTGCATTACTTTTTATTTTCACTTCATTCCTGAGTTTCTGTGTCGTATGTTGCTTAAAATCACCTCCTAAATAATGCTGCATGTAACATAAGAACTTAAATTATTTTCATTTTTCCAAGTCTGATATATTTCTATGAGACATAATCTGATTGTAATAACTGCTCAGTACTAAAGAGCACTAAATTTATATATTTTAAGATGACTTGATCAATTGATGCACTATTCATGGTCAAGTTGCTATTTTAGTTCAAACAAATATTTTAACAGGGCATTATAAATAGTCATTGCCATTTTATACCTTATTCATGCGTAGTTCAGTATTTAAATGCATTCTGGGCTTAAACATTTAAAGCTTTCAATCTCTAGGGCCATGGAATTCTATCATATTTTATGAAAAAGTTTTTTTATTTAACTTCAATGCATTAAATAACTTGATCGTGTCTGAGGTAAATTTTTTTATCAAGATAAGCTTAAGAGTTAATGCAAATCGAAACAAATTTAACACGCTACATAAATAAACATGAAATATATTTAGGTCTTATGTCATTTTGACGTAACATTTAAAGAAACCCCAGGTTAAGTTTATAATATAAAACACTACCGGTACTTCAATTTTTCATAGTTAATTTAATCTCGAATTCCTCATAGCCAAAATATCATTGTCAATATTATTAGTTTACTACTCATAGCCAAAATCTGATTGTCAAACCAACATCTCATAACCAATAGCCAAAATTATTCCTCATAGCCAACATTTCATATTCAGTAAGTTTCTCACAGCCAAAATCTCACAGTATTTATAATTTCTATAGAAAATATGTCATATTAAACAAATGTAATTTGTCACATCCAACGGCATCAGAGTCAATATAATTCTCATAGCCAAAATTTAATATAATTTCTCATATTATCACTATAATTTAGTTAAATAAATTAATAACTTAATAATCAACTTAAATTATTTTCAATATGATACATTGTATATATTGCATAATTACTGTGTATTTTACCTGTAGGTAAACAAACCATCTTTGTGACAAGTAGAGCAGAAAATTCAATCTGTCAAGTGTTGGTCATTAAGAGGTTTGTAGGGTTTAGAGAGATTGACCTTAGGTTTGAGGACACTTGGCATACATAGTGAAAAAAAAAAGAGATTTTATTATGCCCACAGGAGGTGGGAAAATTACAAACATACAGTAATGCATCAACAGTGTAAATTATTTTTTTATTGGAGGAGTCAAAATAAGATGAATTTGTTCTGATTTGGGATTATTCAGGTCCATGGCTCATTTATTTTAGCACACTGCATTGAGCCAGCATTGCAGGACAACATGCAGAATGTAAAAGATTTACAAATTTCCCTCATTATCCTCAGCAATTTCTATTGTTATCCTCAACATTGCCCAAGGGGTGCGGGTCACTAGTTACAACAAATGGAATTTCGCTATAATGCCAGGCTATTTTCTATATATCACTTAATATACCTCTAGCTCATAATCTCCCAACTAATTATGTTGAACCTTGGCAGTAACATACAAATATGCCTAAAAAATTACAAGGTAACAGGCAAAAGGGAGGGCTTGAAATTTTAACTTAGGTGAGACATGTTTAATGCTAAATACGGTTGCACCGAATTATTCTAGAATAGGGATGGCCAATTATAGTAAATGTCAGTCTTTAAATAAATAATGTTGTATTTCAATGCATATCACCAACTGAAAAAAATGATCTTTTTCTATAGATACAAAGAATATATATATTTAACTCAAACAATATTAAAAGAAAATAATTTAAACATTGTGCCATGACAATTATTGAAGAAAGGCAAATCATCCCTGAACTTGGTGAATAACCAATTAACAGTAAAATTTACAACTATTATTGTTCTTAAAGACAAACAACTTGATATTCTATTTAACAAATTACTAAAACATACATTTAATCTTATCGTTTCTTAATTTTATCAATTTAATGTGTTTTTGATGTTCATTTTAAAGCGTGGCTAATCACTTCTGGAGCAAATGGTTATACTAACATTGTTCATCTGAGTTTCAGTCTGCTGAAATTTAGGAAACTGAGTATCATACATGTGAACTTTTCTCGATGGTCAAGTGGCAGATTTTTCTTCAAAAAGACGACTATATTTTAGAATTTGCAATAAACAAATACGGAAGTTCTGACATCAAAAATAGGGAGATTTCTTAAATTTGTGAAAATACCCCTTATTTTAAGAAAAATTCTTTGAAAATATGGCTCAGCAGAAAGTGGGAGTCACCCGCTAAAAGTGGGAGTGTTCACATGTATGAAGCATATAAGTAAAATACAAATAAAAGTGACATTGAGATATTTTTTGGATCATCGGATGATGTCTTTTACCAACAGTCTGACAAATTAAGTAGGACAATAACAGTCTCATAAATGGGTCAAACTGTCTGCTTACATTGTAATTAATTAGGCTAACCACAATACAGGTGTTCCATATTTGATCTCCTCAGTATGTTTTAGTGTCAGGATATCATACATTAGTCTGGAACTGTACACTGTATGATGATACATCACCTGGTCACGTGACGTAGGAATCAAAAGTAATTAATCAGTTAATAATGACATGTATAAACACTACGTACGCGTACGTTCGCGGACTCAACAAAAACTGATTTATATGATTCATATTTATGATAAAAAAACTATTGAAGAACACTCGCCATCTTGTTACTCACTGGTATACTTACATGATTTACACACATCAA